ATATTTTGACACAACATCTTCCTTATATGTTCAAATAAACACATTTCAATCTTTTTCCTACGTTACATTTTCTGTTCTTCTACCCTACAGCTACCAGAGGGGTGCTGTTTAGTTGCATGTGGCACAAAAGTTTAAAGATTAACTTGGCTGTTGTAGTACAGTGACTATGATGCATTGTAATAACTCAACGTTGTTTTAACTGCTTGACACCAGTAAGTAAAAACACATGCTGTTCAATCTCTAGTTAGGAAGAAGCATTACATAACATAGCACAGGCAACAAATTTAGCAGTGAATTAAATTAGTCCATTCCTTTCACAAGTGTCAATGTTAAGTTTGGAACTGTAGTGTAAATATAGTGTTCTCGCAAAGGGATATCAGTTATACTTCCCATAACCACTAGCTAAGATTTGTTTTTATCTGCAATAGTTTCTAACATTTCTGTATACTTACCAAACAAAAAGATAAAGTAAAACTATTATTTTCTCCACTCATCCCCAAAGATGACAACTGTGGAAACAACAAAGTTCTGGTTTTCCCTGTGTAGGTCTGTAAGTCAGGATTTTTCACATGGTCCCATGAGGCATCTCAAGTATATTCCTTAGAAGGGAGCAACAAGGAAGGAGGTGAATTAAGGTTTCCCTAGTGTTTCCTGGAAAGCAGAACAGGACAGACCTGACTCCTGGAAAGTGGAATAAGGATGGGCCTGAATTCCAGTCTACCTGATGACTAATTCAAATAGTAGGAAAACCACAGAGGACAGAAACACAGCAAAATAAATAAATGAATAAGATTTCTTTTTTGAAAAAGTTTTAAAGTTAGAAGTTTATAGAAAGGGATCAACTCCAAATTCTTTTCAGCTCTAACAAAGGAAAACAGGACATGAAGATATACAAAAGCTATCAGAAACAGATTATAGTGAAAAAGTGCAGTTCTATGCACATCTGTGTTGTAACTGGAAAGTCAACTGGCAAAGTCAAAACCATGAAATGCTGTTTTACCAAACACTAAGAACTTATTCCACAACTGTTGCCTTAAACAACATCTGTATTGTGTCCAGCTGGAATGGTACCAGTGAAACACAGTTTACAAGGCAGTACAGTCTTGTGGATTATGTCCTGCAACTTATTTATTCTTGATTCTGTGGCTTTGCTTTTTTTCCATCTCCCTCTCAAATTCAGGATGCTCTTCTTACTAATTCATCCTCTAAAGGTAAGACTTTTTCTTCCCATCAGTTCCTGTCTAGAAAGGCTGCACTGTCTTCATCGAGAATGGAACATTAATGTTTCATGGAATTATAAAAATCAGAGAAAGTATGACAAATAATAACTGTGACACCTATGCACCATAACTGTTTCCTCCTATGAATCATTCACATCAGTAAAATATTCCAAGTATAACAGTGCTGAAGTGAAGCATTACATATTGGATAGCACTGGCTTAGTGGAAAAAAGAAGAGATAACATCAAGTAGAAAATACCCAAGCCTCTTTCCTTTCTGATGAAACACAAAACTCTGGAAGCTAGGTATAGCTGAAGGAGCAGTGGCTCAAATACTTGACAAAAGAACGTATCTGAAGTACCAGCATTTCCTTCTCTGCGGTTTTGTGACCCCACACATAGATGTCACTTGTGTGGACTACAGAACTTTTCCAGCAACTGAAAAACAAACATTAATAGTATAGAAGGTATTGCTTTTATGGCAAAACATAATTCCAACCAACTTTTTCTTTTCAATTAAACCTGTACTTACACCTGCAAGATCTTACAATAGCCAAGAGTCTGAATTGTGACACATCTTATAACCAACTCATCATTTGTTCTTTGGTACAGTAAATGTGACGAAGAGTTACCAGACAAATAATGTTCATCTGTACTGAGACCACTGTAACATCACCAGAAATACACAGAGGCCTGTTTTCTACGTGAACTATAGAACATATAGAAGCATCATAAAGTTTCTCTGGGACACTGTGGCACTCACCCACAGCTGCACCGAGTGCAGGAAGGGAGGCTGCACAGCACAGAGCAGAGTGCAACAAGCCTTCTACACAGCTGGCAGTGGTGGAGCTGATGTACCCCAGGGTACAGTTGGCCCTTAGGGCTGCCAGGGCACGCTGCTGGATCACATTCAACTTGCCAACAGCCAGAGCCCCTAGTTCCCCTTCTATGAGGCTGTTCTTAAGCCTCACGTCCCCTGTTTGTGCACGGATCCAGGGTTGCCCAGTGCAGAATCTAGTGCCCAGGTGCATAATCCAGCACTTGCTCTTGTTGACCTTCATGTGATTGGTGATTGCCCAGCCCTCTGAGTCAAAGTAGTTAAAATAATTCATTGGCAAAGAACATTTGAGAATAGCAACAGCATTTTCTTTGTCATTCTACACAAACCAATGCTTGTGGAGGTGAAAGCTAAAACACGTATATTTGGTGTGGTGAACCACACATGTTCTAGCCTCCTGAACAGCACATCCACACAAAACCTCTGCAATAGTTCTGAAAGTCAGTGAAATCTGAGGGGTGTACTGGCACTGTTCCTTTGCAGCTGCGGGTAAGATGTTCTTTCCACCTTCTATCACTAAAAGGAAATCCCAGTCCACAAGACCAGAGATCTACTCCTGGAGAGAAGAACTGAGCACATGAATTCCAAAGCAATATCAAGAATGAAAAGAGAACTTGTTCACAAGCCTGTACATAATAACAAAGCAAATTCAGCTAGATTATTCTCCCTTAAGTTATCAAGTTGACTGTGGAGCCTCAGTTAAGTAGCTTGTGACTTGAAGAGGAAAGGAGCTCAGTGGATTTTACAGAATACTACCACTTATTCTAAAACTACCTAAAGATCAAAATATACTCTTGGATTAGGAAAACATTCTGTATGTTCTGCCAAACAGAAGAGTGTTGTAGACAAAGACAATTCTTTGCACATTTACAGACAACAGGTAAGTACTAACATACTCGTTATTTTTCAACAGTCCAGTGTAAATACTAACCTGTAATGCAGTTGCAAAAAAAAAAAAAAAAAAAAAAAAAAAAAAAAAAAGCTGATATTTTAACACTGCAGTGGGAAAACCTTTAGAATCATAAAGCTTGAGTTGGAAGGAACCCTTAAAGGTCATCTAGTCCAACTCCCCTGCAATGAACAGGGATACCTACAGCTAGACTAGGTTGCTCAGAGCCCCTCAAGCCTTGCCTTCAGTGTCCCTGAGGATGAGGCATCCACCACCTTCCTGGGCACTCTGTGCCAGTACCTCACCACCCTTTGAAGAACTATTTTGTTGACATGAAATGAGGTTTCCACCTGCAGCTGTATGCATTTGGCAAGCAGAGCTTTGCTTCTGCAATGTTATTTCAGGACAGTAAAAAAAAATTGTACCCCAGAATTAATCTTCCACTGAGTGCAGAGAATCAATAGCTTTGTCTGAAATTCACAGTTACAGTAAATTTAAAGCAATCATTCTATGTTAGTGTACAGAATATCAAGTGAAACTGTTTAAAATGACAAATACCAGAAAATTTTCTTCCTTCAAAACTGACAATATGTAGAAGATTCCTCTCTGCCCAGTGCAATTCTCTGCAATGAGAACTGCTACAATAGTTTACTTATAGAAGGCTTTTTGGATGAAGCTCATGTCTTGAAGTCTATTCAACACGAATGACAACAGTATTATCAACTGCTTGTACCTGATACTCCACAGTATCAACTGCTCACAGTTCATTACTCCACATGAACCATATGCAGAAAACTCCACTCTGACTCCAGAAGATGAGCTTAAAAAGAAGTAGTAACTTTCAAAAGAGCACCACAAGAAAAAAAAGAAGAAAACCTAAAAAATAAATGATGGGAGGAGCAGAAGCTTGAAAATTATAGAATCACAGAATGGCCTGGGTTGAAAAGGACCACGATGATTATCTACTTTCAACCCCCCTTCTATGTGCAGGGTTGCCAACCCTAGACCAGACTGCCTAGAGCCACATCCAGCCTCTCTTTTCTCCAGTCACCTCTCTTCTTCCCAAAGTTTTCAGGTTCCCCACCAGTGAATCAGAATCTAATAGGAAGCCCTGAAAGTGCTGATTTCTTACTGAATATTGCCATAAGGAACTAAACTACAGCTTCCTTTTTTAACTGTTCCTGGTTGCAGCATATTGCAGATGTAAAATCCATTACAAAGCACAGTGCACTCAGACAAGCATTTTTACAAAGCAAGAGCAATACGTGCAGTACAGAAACAGTTGTGAAAGTGCTGCTTAATGCCAAAGTACTACAAAATGCTTTACGATCTAGATACAAAAATATTTCATTTTATGCTAAGACTGTTCTTTTTGCAGCAATAAATACTAGTAAAAAGATAACATTACATAGATTACATTAGCAAAAAAGATAAAGGATTCCTACAATCTATGTAAAACTATTGTACCTTCAGACACCAGGAGAGAGGAATAGTTAAATATTCTCAAAGGTCTGGGGGAATGTATTTTATGTGGAAAGAACAGTTTGAAATGTAATTGCTTTAATAATCATGTTTTTCTCTCTCAAAATGCATGCAGTCTGACCTATAAAAGTAATTTCCTATCCAAATGTTAATGGTAGATAGAAATGGAAATCATAAAAGTTATTTCAAGACAGAGCTGAAATCATCTGCCAGCAGCACAGAGTGCTTTCTTAAGTCACATTTTCTTTAAGATTCTACACCAGAAACCTTCACAACACTGTTCAAATCATGATAAATAGAGTTATACTGTTTCACAGTACTTGTCATAGAGTCACAAGATAAAATAAAAGCATTTTTAATTGTTTTATTCATGAGCTTTAAAGTTACTTTCTGGTGCTTGGACCTTGGACCCTGTTGACTGATCATCTTTTACCTTTTTACTTATCTCAGTCTTTCCTATCTTGTTGAAAACAAAGTTCCATGGAGAACACAAGCATTAAAAACAAACAAACAAAAACCCCACAACAGAAGAAAAACAAATGAAACCCCAGAAAGTTGTCATAGTTACTTGCCTCTGGGCAATTTCTGAGCACTTCCCACGTTTACTGCAATATATCCACAGAAAAGGAGAAGGACCAGTCTTGGCATCATGGTTACAAACCCAAGCTCGCACCGTGAATGATTCTGACAGGTATCACACCAAAGTACTGCAGCTGCATTTAAGGGAACGGTTCTCTCTGTGACAAGAGGCAGCAACACTTTGACACAAGCGTAGTTCACACAGTGGGAGGAGACAGGATGACATCATTCACTCCCACTGGAAAAGGAGAATTAGCAGTGAAAAAAAAAAAGATTATCAGGCTCCCCCTACAATCATCTTGTGCCTTTTTTTTTTTCCACAGGGTCCTTCCACCTCATAGGATAGACTCTTGACTGATCACTTAAATTTCACACAAATAAAATCAGACGTTTCAAAACCTCTATTAACTGAAAACTGTTCCGTGAAATATTTTCACTGCTTTATCCAAGAAAACTGGACTTAACCTGCAAAATTAGCATTCACGCTGCTCAGACATCTGCTGTTCCATTGAACTCAACATTTCTGCAATCTCAAGATTTTTCTTAGGATTTCTAGACTTGGCTTTCCTTCGTGCAAAATTAATACCACTTACGCTTGACTTGACATTATAAATAGGCAAGATAAATATTTATTCAGTGAAAGATTTGTGTTTTCAAAACTAAACATTCTTTTCTTTTTATGCACGATTTTGTCACTTTAAAAGCAATTTATATTTTCTGCTTTGTACAAGGCTGTTGAGTCACTGGGAACAACGCTCAGTAAAAGCAAAAAGGCAATGCATCTTCCAGAGGTCAGACCCTCTCATTAACTATATAATTGTAAATGTAAAAGAAATACCATTAATTAATTCCACTGAAATCTATTTCACTCCACGGTGAGCCAACTAAGCATAATATTTGGTCCTTCCCATAACTAAGAGGGTGGAAAGAAAAGGGTGGAGCAAAATAAAAAGATTACAAATGAATAAGGAAGAATTTGGTCTCTGTATATGGAAAAGCAGAGCCAAAGAGGTTACATTTATTAAACTAAACAGTGATCTCTCTCTCTGCTCCCTGTCATTCCTCCTCCTCATCAAAAACACAAGAAAATATTTTTTTGATTTACTAACTCAAACCTGGGAATACTGAGTTGGAAGTCAACGTTATAGGCAGACCCCTATGGAAATTTCCATACACCATTAACACAAGGGTCTTTGTGAGGATATAGACTCTGAACGTGGGTTGTTTTATATGAGTGCTAAGAATAGATAAATGCAGCAGCTACAATTTGGATGAGATGTAAAGATATTAAAAAGGACATGGGGATGAATAGGAGTGTCCAAGAACATTGACCACACCTGGTGGCCAAAGTGTTCCGAGTGACAGCACAGAAAGCTGGATACGCAAAGCAAATACGTTGTTGTTCTTTTTTCCTTTTTTTTTTTTTTTTTAATAAAAGGCTTTTTAAAGAAATGTTCCACAGAGCATATTCTGTTTCTTCCATTTCAGAATTAAAAAAGAAAACTGATCGTTTGATGGAGTAGTTTCTTAAGAGAAGGGATGGGAAAATTAATTCTGGATCACACACGGCTATCTTTTTAGTACTGCTAAGTGGATCTATTGGCTTGTCTTATGGCCAACTAACTCTCCTTTTAAAGATCACAGAACACCTTTCAACGAAGTATACAAAAGGCCAGTTTCAATTCAGGAAAATCTCAGTGAAACATACTGTCTATTTGGCTATCTAACAACACAGATTTTATTCCATTTTACAGAGATAAATAAATTCCCATTCCTGCTATCATAACCACTTGTTTCCCTGCTGCCAGTTCCACCTTTCCTCTTCCTTCTATGCACTATCCAAACAATTCTTCTTTGTTTGGTGTGCCAAACACTTAACCTTCCCCTTGAAAGTCTGGCAGATGCCAGGTCTCTTCCCCTCTGATCGTTCCTGTAGATAACAGCTCAGGTCAGCTCAGAATTTAAAGAACCACATCACAATGCATTTCCTTCCATCTATCAAGTATGCATTTCATAAGAGACAATTACATATTGATAAGTAGATGCAAGCATAAATTTATGTCAAACATACTCTGAGAGTCCAAACTCAGTAATACAACATTCTCTTTCTCCAGCGTGCTCCCTCCATCTGTATCATCCATGTAATAAGTGATTTTGTACACTACTTTTCTTACAGGACTGGCCTTTTGTAGGAAACTTCTGTTGCACGAAACAAATGGAAAAAACACACCTATTTCTGCTTTCCTCTTTCCTAAATCTTTCTGCAGTTCACTGAATGCTGCCTGCTACTGTGAAAGAACAACCACAGGAACAGAGTGAGTTCCTGGGTTCAGGTATTGCATTTCTCTTCTTGTTGGAGAGCTGCTCCACAATCTGCATTTAAACAGAGACAGTCTCTGGTTTCATTTCGCAGAAATAAAATTTGTACATCACACTTCACAACAGAAATTATCTAACACAGAAGTTCCTCAGGATTCTCTCATCCACACGACGCTGGAATTAACTTATCCATTTTTGACTCCTACAATCACATCAGGAGAGGAGGTTCAGTTCATGATAATTTTGCGCTGATAAATCTTAGCAAAAAGGCAAGAAAAATGAGGTAAGAACAGTTATGAAAAATCTCAAACAGATCACATTTGTTCAGGAAAAGTAACGTAAAAGGCAAAAGATTTGGCCCCCTAACAGCTCCTCTTCTTCAGCACCACATTAATGCTTAAGTAACAAAGACAAATACTCAAACGTTTACTTGCTTACCTCAGCTTTCACTGGGTCTCTCTGGGGCAGATCTCAAGAACAGAGATTCCAACAAGATGGTATCACTGCTAGTCTGGGAGCAGAACAGAGCTTTTTGAGTTCTATTTTAATAGTTCCCAGACCAGCGATTATAGTAAAAACAAAACTAAAGGAAGGAAAAGAGAAAGGTGGGGGAAGAGGGGCTGGGGAGAGCAGGAGATGGGATTTTACATTTTGTTTCCAAATACAAAATATTCCTTTGTTGAAATTTGGGCTCAGTTCTGTTTCATCTATCAGTCCTGATTATTTTGACAAGCCAAAGCCAAGGTGACTCAACTCCTTACTTTTCTAATCTAAAACAGGGCAAATGTGTAAAACAACCTTAAAAAATGAAATCCTCTCTTCCTTCTGTAAAGCACAGTAACAGAGCATTGAGTTCACTAGGCGTAAAAACTTACTTTTAGCACACTTGACCCATTTTCATCACATAAGGTGTGTTTATACTGTATCCTTCACCAGTGTTGTCAATTGAGAAATGCCTTAGTCATACAATATGCTATATAAATGTAAATTATAATTATCATTTTCTTGTATATGACTCAATTATTAGTCTCTTTTCTTGCAAATGTCACAGGACCTACAGAAAAAGAAAGGTACCGAAGAGTATTCTTACAGAGCTGTTGCATGAAAGGAAAAAGAAAATCATTCCTCTTCTGAGAGGATGCAATTAGCTTTTCTTCCTCATCCTTCTTTTCTTAGTACCAGGTGCTAATTTTTGAACTCTCATGTTAACAAGAGCACTCTGTTAATCTGTTGGTCAAAAATGAGGTGAGATGTACTCCTATTTAACAGCATATTTACGGCAGTGTCAGTGGATTATTGCATCCTAATCCCAAACTGAGTTTCAAATCAAATTAGTGAGATCAGAGACAAAGTTGAATGGAGGAAAAGTAGTCAAAAGGCATGAGCAGAATGAGAGCAGGGCTCTCGTGACAATTTGTTCTATGGTTTACCAAATGTTCCAGCACTCACTCATTTGACACTTGTAATCTCAGACAATGACTCATCTTTACTAGCAGGCTGTATTTCTCCAAAGTTCTGCATGACATGAAGTGAGGTAACAAAGGCATTTTTTATTTTCTCAATGAGTTTATTATTTTATCTTGATGCACTCTTCATTACTCAATACAGTATGCTTGGTGCTGCACTTTCTCCTGCATTATCATTACTTAATATATAAAGATGGAGAATCAGTGTAATCCCAGATTTTCAACTCCACCCTGATCTTAGTATTTTTGCATTATTTTACTTGGGCTTTATTTTGTCTTTTATTAATTATTTCTTAGTATTCCAAAATTCTGAAATCACCTATGATTTTGTGTGTTTTCTGTCATGTTATATATTGTGTTGCAACCTTTTAAAGGAGCCCAGGACTATGTTGACCTGCTGTGTTGTCAGAGCTCACTGCTGGCTCCAGTTCATCTTGCTATCCACCGAGATCCCCAGATCCTGTCCAGCAGAGCTCCTCCACAACTGGTCAGACCCCAGCCTATGTCTTTGCAGGGGTTATTCCCACTCATGTGGAAGATTTTGCAGCTAAGCTTGCTGAAATTTCTAAGGTTCTTGTTAGCCCATTTCTCTAGTATGGTTGCTCTGGATAAAAGCACTGCCCTCAAGAGTATTACCATGTTGTCCCAATTTTGTGTCCCTTGAAAAATTTGACAAGAGTCCTGTTATCTCCTCTAAGTCACTGACAAAAAGGTTACTGGACAGGTCCTAAGATGTGGTACTCCCCATTTTACCAGCATTCAGGTAGATCATAATCCATTAAGCACAACTTTCTGATGTCAATCATCCAACCACTCACTCAACTAGCTGTTCACACTTTGTATGAACTGAAAATATACAGAAGTATATTCTGTAAAACACATTTTATCTGTGCTATAATGTGTATTTTGAAACACTACTGAGAAGACAGCTTCTTTGAACAAGTATCTCAATACATATAAATAAATACTTATCTAAAGGGCTCCTTCTGTGAAGTCTTCCTCATTGCTGATACATCTTAACAGAAATAAACTGCCTAACCTTATGCAACACCTGTAGCAAAACCCAACCTGTCCTTTTGAGCACTGTACAGTTACTGAGTACTGAAAGACATCGCTGACTGAAGTAAGCTACTTTCATATCTTCTACCATTGACACATTTGTGCCACTTGAGACAGTTAACACAAATGCAGCCTTTCCATTAATGGAATGTCTACTCTTCAACATTTGTCCCAAACATTGCCTGTCCATATCTCTTCTTTCACAATATCTTTAAATGCTTTAAATACTTATTTTTTTGCATAAACAGTATCTGTCTGTGCTAAAATGCAGGCAAAAGCAAAGAGCAAAAGACATAAAGACATGCAACAAGCTCCTCCAACACAA